TCCAAGTAGTTTGCCCTTAACTGTGACACAACCTCTCTTGATGGTGTAAAAAGAATTAGACGTGTTCGAAGAAGTAGCATTTTCTTTAATTTTAGTCTCCAACTTTAAAATGGTAGTGGCAAAACCCGAGGAATCTGATTCCAAAAGACTTTTTGTTCTTTCCTTCACTTTTTCCATCTTCTCAAGCTTTCTCTTCTTCTTTCTGTCATTTTTCTGTTTATTACTTTCGACTTTTTGCGCCGATATCTCTCGATTATCCGATAGATTAGCTAATTCAAGTGGTGGTGGTGAAATGAGAGTGCTTTCTGAAGATGAAGAAGAAGCAGAAGAAAGACTTTCTGTCTCCAAAAAATCAGACCTTATCGGATTTTCTGCCACCAAAACTTTAGTTTTTGAAAGGGTTGGCACTTCTTCACTCTGAAAAACGACTGATGATGACGGCATTTCATCTTTGAAAGCTGGCGCAGTGGCAGGAAGAAAAGTTAAAAGACTAGAAACTCGGCTAAGTTTTGAAACATCCTTACCATGTCGGCCAGATTTTCCCAATTTTGCGAAAGACTCAAGAGCGTTTAATTTACCAATTGCTTTCGATCGATCGGCTGAGGAGGAAGTAGAAAGAAGGGATTTCAGCCTATCCTCGTTCGGCTGCTCCCTTTTTAGTTTAAAGGATTGGGTCGTTGTTGGCCTTGCTGCTTTTGAAAAATACTGCCAGAAAAAGAAGATTCGGCGGAACGACTATCCTGATTATTGCCTGTTCGACAAAAATTAATACTATGTCCAGTTTGTCTACATTGTGGACATGGTACTGGACAGTCTCGTCTCCAATGTCCATTTTTACGGCAAATAGGACAAGGACCTGGTGGCTCTCGATTTGCATTTCCGAAAGATGAATTCGGACGACTATAATTCGAAGAACTATTCGAGGAAAACGGTAAAGACGAACGACTATTATTGCCACCTACAGTACCACCACCGTTATCTCTGTTATTATTTCGTCCATAAAAAGAATGGTTTTTCACGAAAATCTGTGCCATTTCTCTCATTTTAGACGTCAAAGCAAAGGAAGACGAAGGTTTTTCGTTTTTTTGAGAAAAAGAATTAGCTGATGATGGTGATTCCAAATTGGCGACAACAACCGTCTTCTCTGGCGTTCTCAAACGAGCTAACTAGCGAGTTAGCGATCGAGTTAGTTCTTGCGAGTTTGAGTCGTCTTGTTCAGCATCCAGATTTCTGGAAGTCTAACGCTCTGGCATAGCTCTCTGAACTTCTTCCTTTCGTTGATACAAAAGTTCAATCTCCGCTTTTTCAGCCATCTTGAGTATCTCATCTATCGACATTCTTTCCGGATCACCTTTCACCCAGAGACGAAGTGCTGGACGCAATTTTCGCATAAAATATTTTTTTAACTGCTTCTCATTTGATTTCGGATTGATCTCAAGATTTAACCCGAGATATCGTTGATAGAAATCAGCTGCTGTTTCATTTTCCTTTTGAGCACAACGGCTACGCTCAATTTTCAGAGCTTCAACTCGTTCGGGGCTTCGAAAATGAGCGAGAAACAGCCTTTTAAACTGTGACCAGGTTTCTGGCAAACGATGTGCTTGCGATAGTTGCAAGTACCAATCGCTTGCAGAACCTGTGAGCCAATTACTGATATTTCGCAGCAATTTTGAATCGGACGCACCGAAAAGTGTCCGCATTTTTTGTTGGTATTCGTGTAAAAATTTGCTCGGCTGTTCACTCGCTTTGCCACTGAACCGAGTAATTTTTGAGTCGTTCACAGTTACCTGCAAGATAGCTGAAGAAGCGACGACACTTGATCGAGAAGAGGAAGCAGAACGAGAGGATTTTCTTTTTTTGCGGCATTCTGAAGTTATATCTTGCCTTTTAGCATAAGAACTATCATCACTACGATCAGAAGAAAAAGTCGTTTCTTTTCGATGATGTTTGCGTCTTTTATCATGTTTCTTTTTATTTCGAGATTTTGAAACTTCACTCTTATCCGAAAAATCAGTTTTGCCACCAATGAAAGAACTATTTGAGGACGAGGAAGATGGTTGTGGTGATTTACTTCTCCGTTTTCTAACAAGTAGTGGCAGCGAACTAGCATGCCGCGAAAGATCCGACTCGTAAACATACAACAGCGGCACGGGCAAAGATGCGGTTGAAACTTGAGCTTTAGGAGCTCCAGGAATTACGGTAATAGCGTCTCTAGAGACTGGCGTCACCGTATTAGTCGACAATAGCTGTGTTCGGGATGACCTTTGTTGCTGGTCTATAACCCGAATTATGGCCTGTGTTTGCATTTCCAAAGCTTACCTTGCCTGCTCTTTCTGTATTTTCATAGATTCCAGTATATGCATATTCTGCATTTTCATAGTTTCGAGCAACAGTGCGTTAGCATCAACTCCACCACTAGCGACAGAAAGATCAGATGTAGCATGCGATGTATTAGATCTGATAGATCTACCGCGAGACAAAACAGAGACTACTGATGGAGTTACAGAAACTTTAGCTTTTGCTTTTACAAAAACCTTCGATGGTTCTTGTTCTAAGGATGAAGCATCCCTATCGGTGGAACTACTCAAACGCGGAGCTGCTACCTTCTTATCTTTATCTATCGGAATATCTTGCG